AGATAAGAGGAAGGACAAGACAGAAAGAAGGAGCAAATAAAGTAACTGAACACGTGGAAATGTAGTGGTTTTGTGAATGAGCAAAACGAAGTACAACAGTTTTCTTCCTTTTCTTTCGTTAGCTCGTGGAAAATACCCGTTTAGTGGTGAAAAAAAATGTTAGCATAATTGGAAGAAAATTGTGATTCTATTTCTTTATAACTATTAAAGTGACATGGTTAGTTCAATGTGTATCGGATGCAGTACTGAAATTCGACGAGGTCGAAAGTTTAAAGTTGGTCAAGGATTGGGAAGAATTTTTTGGTCAGCTCGTTTGATGTCTCGTGTAGACTCAAACGATTGCATTTGTCAGCGTTGCCAATTTAAATTCTTTACTTGGAAAAATGAAACAAATGGTGATTTTGATAATCTGATAAAGCAGGTGGAAGAAAAAACTGAAGATGATATTGAGAAAAATGGCTGTGATGTTTGTTAATTTTTTCATGCATATACACTTACGGAAAAAAGTTTCATTTAGGAGATGGAGGTAGATGAACAGAATGATGTGTCGTTGAAAAGAATAGATCGAGAGATACAAACAACACCTGAAATTGAAACAGTCGAAATATTGATTAATAGAACAACAAAGTCTCAAAAGTAGGAAATAAATGCTTAATAGTGAAATATTGACTTTTTTTTGTAAGGAATTGTATTGTTTGTGGTGCTGCCAAAGGCGTGAAGCGGCGACGATTGACAGATGAACAGAGAAATCTTGTTTTTCTTAAAAAAGGAATTTTTGTACCACCAAACAGTCGTTGTTGCAAAAAACATTTATATAACAAACAACTCACATATGAAGCACTAAGAGAAATTAAGGGTACAAAATCAAGCCTTGAAATGTGGGGAGCAAAAGATATTACTCGATGTTTGGATGACTTTCGTTTAGTTGCTAATTCATCAAGATCATTTGATTTTGATGATCCATCAAGTATGAATGATACAGACTATTTGACGATTACTGGTCTTAATAAAGGTAATGACAGTATTCTGTCCTTCAGCTATGTCTTACTGACGCATAATGACAAGCATTTCTTTTCTTGCATTTTGTTATAAACGTAAAAGAAAAGCAGATGAAAATGAAGTAAAAACAATAGTATTTTTCTAAATAAAAGCTATGACGATGGGATATAAGAGATTAAAAAGATAAACTCTCATTGATTTCAAATTCTTTTAAAATTTTTTTACGTTCTATGTGTGCCAGACAATTTCAATCATTTACTTAAATATCTTTCAACTATGCGCAATTCCTGCACTCGTTCCATTCGTGTTGCCTTGGCTATTTATCTTACTAAACTACGGCAAGGTATTAGCAATTCAGTGCTTGCTACCATGTTTCGCCTAGGCCATGAAAGAGCAGTTGCACATATATTACAACAAGTTCGACAAACTTTAATAAATAATTTCACATCACTTTATCTCGGATTCAACCATATTAGTCGAGAAGAAATTCTTGCTCGTCATCAAACAGCTATTGCAAATACATTACTCACGTCTAAGTCAGATCAGGTGTGTGTTGCAATAGATGGCACGTACCTCTATGTTCAAAAGTCATCAAATAATACATTTCAACGTCGCACGTACAGTATGCACAAGCATCGCAATTTGCTAAAACCGATGATAATAACTGCAACTGTGAGAATTTGATTTTCTATTTTTATCAATCTAGCTTGTTATAGGATGGATATATTGTGTCAGTTCTTGGACCATTTCTGGCTGACTACAAGAACAATGATGCTTCTATAATCAAGCACTGTTTGTTCAACAATGAGCAAGATATGTTGTCATGGTTCAAAGATGACGACATAATGATTGTCGATCGTGGGGTGTGTTTTAATTTATCAGAAGAAAGAAAATTGGAACCTGATCTAGACTAATTCTTTTTTATTCAAGTAGTGAATTAATAGTTCTGCTCTGATGCTATTCATATATCGATTGGGATCTCAGTACGATTTTATAAATTCATTCTGTCATTCGAAGTATATACAAATTATGAAAACTAAATGAGGAAATATTGAATCATAAGTTTTTGATATGAAAAAGAGAATAACAAACTCAAAAGATTGTTCCTTCATCGAATCGTTAGTCTCTGGTATATTTCACTGTCTAACGTTAATTTAACAAAATAGCTATCACAAATAAGCGACTTTTCCAATTTTGATTGTTAAAAAAAGATTACACTGTATATTTTGTTTCTCGACTAATTAATGATTTGTGCTCTGAAATCAGGTTCATATTTTCAATTGTATTATCTGCTCCTAATGAAATTTTATGAATTTTTGAGAAGATTCAGTTATCTTGCAAGAATCTATATTTTCATTTCTTCTGCTAATACTAGTTCTTATGTCGTTGTTGCTAATTTGACATCATTTATTGTTTTTTATAGTTCAGAGATTCAATCGAATCAATGAAAACACTAGGCTTTCAACCTGCAATGCCTGATTTTTTGAATGGAAAAAAACAATTGTCTGTTGAGGAGGCAAATAAAACTCGTTGTGTTACTAAAACCCGTTGGGTAGTTGAAAGTGGTATGTGCTTTTCTCAACATTTATATCCTCAATTCGTTTTTTTTTGTTCAGTCAATGGCAAGATCAAACGGTGGCGATATTTTAATCAAGTTATACCAAACTCATCTATTTGCCACGTTGGAGATGATCTTGCCATTGTTTGCGCTATCATTAATGCGTATTGTTCCGCAGCTACGTTAAATGTTCACGGTGATGAGGAGATCGCCGTTAAAATGCTTGATCAATTGACAAAGGACAACATCTTAGAGAAGCGTTTAAGTGAGCTTGAAAACCAAAAAGCTCTCAAGTGGAACAAGCATGACGGAATTTTTTGTTTGTTTCCATCTCTCACACCAAATGATATTAAAAATATCACTTTCGGTAGTATAGATCTTTTTCTTTTCTTTTAATAATTCTGCTGTCTCAGGATCTTATCAAATTCATCGGGCAACATCATATATTCAGGATCATTTAAAAGAAGCTTACTATAATCCAAATCAACTTATATTTTACGTCGAGATGCCCGAAGGTTTCGATGATCTCGTTCGCACCAGATTTCAATCTCGACACAGTAATAGCAAATCATACATGTCAACTATTCAATTCGATAACAACAATACAAATAATCCTATTCAAGGATGGTGTTGCTCTTGTACTGTCGGCCTACGTGTTGTGGGCTGCTGCTCACATGTATGTGCTTTACTTTGGCATCTCGGAGTTAACCGAGGGATTATTACTGATACCACAAATCCTCTTTTAGCGTCTAATTTTATGGCTCTTGTTGAAGATAGTATGACATTTTCTGACAATGAGGACAATTCAGATGATGATAATAATATTAAGTACAGTTTATCCAATGATTCAACCGATGCTAGCAATGATGAAACGTCGGACACAGAAACAGAAGATTGATGTTTTTCCATGCTTTAACAATAAAAAATATCATATACTAACAACACTAAATCTCCCCAACTATCGCATATTAATGTGAATAAGGCTAATATTTGCATCAATCATGAGAGATTTCAATAAAAAAAAGTCCAGTTGAAAAGTTTTATCCTATTTCAATTTGTTCTGCTGTTTTTGTG